TCATGTTGCATCGTGTAATAATAAATAAATAAATAAATAAATAAATACCCCGTTTTCAATAAACGGATTAACTTTAGAGTTGTACATAAAAAAAAAACAAATCTGAATTTGCATTGAAATTTCTCTTTTTACAACCTGTGTACCTAATTCGTAGTTAAATAAAGGCCTTTCTAGATACACGCGTTTTCCCTACCGCTGTGGGTAGCGGAATCCGAGTAGGTACGCGGTATTCCCAGCGCGGTATACCCGCGTCCCGCGGCGAAACTTATTCGTAAAGCAAGTGATAAGCCTACTACTATACTACTACTATACTGCCTACCTGGGCTTTATACCGGTTTTGCTCTAGCCGCGGAACTTCATAGAAATACCCAGCGGCATACCGGTATTAGTAGGACCACGAGAAAACAGCGGTATAGAAACATCAGCTCATACCGCCGCTGGTGGCGCGGGAAGTATTTTTATCTATTAGTACACTCTTTCAACAGGGTTCATGATTTTTTTAAATATGTGAAGTAAATCACTGCTTTTGCGAAATATATATTTCTGGATCCGAAAAATTATTTAAAAATTGTATGGCCAATAAAAATGAAATACCAGCGCCATCTATTGATTAACGACGTCCATCTTCGTGGATTTAAAGCGAAAACGTTCACATGATTAGCCCGTGCCCACAGCGGTAGGGAATATCACTTACATCTAAACAGGCCTTAACGCACTGTTATGAAGAAACAAATCTTATTACTTACTTAACAGCTCGATTTCTAATAAAATCCTTCGACACTCCAGCCATAACCACCAGTAAGTCCAGCGCCTTCTTCAACACCACCACATCGCTCCCCTCCACTTTACTCACCAGCGGTGCCCAGCTTTGATGCACTAAAGGCAACAACTCGTCTTCATGCTGCACCAGTATTGGCAAACCACTTGTGAATATTTGCAATGCAAGAATCGTTTCTTCCCGATGTTTTGAAGACATGAAATTGATGCAGCGCTTTAGGACTGTTATTGTTACCTTTATGTGTTGAGGGAGGGGTGGCTTTTCTTCTGTGAATAAATAAATTAATGGTAGTAAATGTCGGTACGCTTCGTCTCAGATTCGAATACCGACCATCAACAAATCGACCCCTCCTACGTAAAGTATCGTATGTCGAATTGCCAAGTTTATGGATTCTTATGTGGGATAAAGCGGCAGATATTCAAACCATATTTGTATTGCAAAAACGAGCGATTCGTTCTGTGTACCGTCTAGGCTCTCGGGTTTCTCTCAGAGAAAAGTTTAAGGGACTGGTATTATGACTGTGGCATTACAATACATTTACTCATACATTTAAGTACAAATACACATAATTCCAACAATAAAGACATCCATAATATTAACCTTAGAGCTAAGTCCAAACTTAACTTATGGTACCACGATTTCGTTTAACCAAGGTAAACAACTCTTTTATGGGGAACTGTATACGTTTTTACAATAAGATTCCGGGGCATATATTAAGATTATCATTTTCTATTTTTAAAAACTACATTAAAAATATTTTGATTGAAAAGTCATATTACATCAATTTTGTAGATAGATAAACATGTATGGAAAGACGACACGGCTCCAGAATCCACACAAATTTGATTCAAAGTGTATTCTATAGCATTTAAGTTTATTTGAAAAGAGCAATCCCTAAAGTTTCTTGCTCGTTCTTCTCAGGGAAATCAGCGTAGTGAACGAGCAGTAGCTTAATGCAATGTAATGTAAATGTGACGTTTTTAAGTGTAAATTTATTTTATCTATGGAATAAATGATCTTTGACTTTACAGGGGAGCGTTTTAAAGTTTTGGAATTCACTGAAATGAACATAACACGTGAGGTTAGCATTTCTCAGTTTTATTCTGCAAAGTTCGTTACTCACATAGAGTATTGTAAAATCCTAGATATCTAGGATCTAGAGAATTCAGAATTTTAAAACGCTCCCCTGTAAACTTGGCAATTTCGACATACGATAATTTACGTAGGAGGGGTCGAAATATTAGAATACTCAACAGCACGTCAAGCTGTACAATTTTGTTCGAACATTGCCTCCAGTGCAACGGAACAAGATCCTCAATGTGTAGCTTAATGTGCTTCCGTCTGCACATACAAGTGATACCCTGAACGGGCGTAGCAAAGGTACATTTATAATTTAAATACAATTTAAACTTGTGCGTAATTAGTTAAAATAGATATTATATTAATTTTCTTATAATTATTATCGTCTTTATTCCTATTTTGGCCGCTGGCTTACTAGTATCGACATAATTTTTTATTCATACACATTTTAATAATGACAGGCGAATTTGATTATCTATAGTCTGTCTTTTTTGAAGATAGAGTAAAACGGCATTTGCAGGGTTGCCAGTTTTCATAAAAATTTAAATAGTCTTGTAGTTATTGTCGACAGTTTTATCGATATATTGTGAAAGTAGGTAAATTTGCCAAAAATGTCTGAATTGAGAATGTTAATACGTTCTAATCATTGACTTACAATTATATGGACGTCGAGTCCGCGCTAAAAAGTGTCCGCACTTGTAAGTCGCTAAAATCGTATACAGAGCGCCAAACTCCGCTTTAGTCTTCATTTGTTCGACTAACAGCGTGATACTGCGATGACATTACAATTTAAATTTGAATAGGTTGACTTGGGACATTTTTTTCGTGGTTTTTGTATTAGACCCGTCGTCCATTTATTTGTAAGTCAATGGTTCTAATGATTACTAATTGCGTTATTGCCTTCTTTATTCCAATTTTGACCGTTGAAGAGATATAATTCTAAATGTAGTGGATATCTCCAAATTAATTTATGCCCAGTAGTTGAACGAATTCAAATGAAACAAGTTCGGCTTTTATTGCATAAGCTTAACCAACATTCAATCAACTGTCGATAGAATATTTATCGACTGCAATCACTAATTTAATTAATTCATTCATTCATTAGCTGCTTACAAGCGGGCAACACTTTTGCGCTATGAACTGTCATTTTACTACCATCTTCAAAATAGACACACTATAGTCTGCAAAAGCGGCGTGCGCATTGTGTGACGCTGCAGTTGCGCTTCCAATATTGTATGAAAATCAGTTGTGATGCGGTTTCAGCGCAACAGTGGCGCCACTGCAGTGCTTCTATAAGCGCCTAATTTAAAGGCGCCCTAAATTTAAAATTACTTAAATGATGCCTAGCCGGGCATTGAATAGAAAACCTTGTCTAAGCATTTTTCACAAACAAAACTATTAATAGTTTACCTGTAACTCTATCATCATAATCTAAAACATCGTCTTCTTTCTTCTTCAAATCTTCTTTGTACATTTCTTCTATACTCTTCCCGCTCTCTTTCTCCATTTCCTCATTACTCAACAACCTTTCCGTTTCTTCCTGACTCTCGATGTACTCTAAGGCGTATTTGAATATATCTAAATGTTCATTAGGAGTTTCGGGTTTTGAGCGTAGTGGTGGAGGGAACCATTTTCGAATGCACTCGATGAATGTCAGGAACACTTGTAAGTACGCTTGGAGATCACGCTGGTGGTATTTATCACAGCTTTGGACTAGGACCTGAAAGAATAATTATTTGTTATGTAAGGCTGCAAACTTATTGTATGACGCGAGGGCTTGTAATGAAACCTGAGCAAGCGAATGATGCTAAGATTTGATTCAAACATAGAATCCTGAGCATAGCGAGGATTTCAAGACACGAGACGCAAAACAACTTTGCTGCCGAGCGAAACACAACTTTTCACCTCACTATAGCTAAGGTCGATGAAAGAAAAACAGTTGACCTATAACAAATCAGTTTTATTCATTCATACATGAAAAATAAATTAATAAACAAAATTAGTTATCGTTGTCAATTGAAAATCAACAATAATGAGAATAAAATATACTAACGGATTTATATTAAGTACATAAATAATGTACGACAAATCGCGTAGTTGAACGTGTCATATATTTATGTTTTCGATGACAAATCGAAAGAAAAAGTTAGACGCTTTAGTAACAGCAGAGCTCCTTGTGAAAGAGTTCGTCCTGCCGCCAAGCAGTAATGTCAGCATTACTGTGTTCCGGTTTTGAAGGGTAAGGGTGCTGGTGAAATTACAGGCATATGGGACTTGTCAACTTACGTCTCAGGGTGATGGGTGCAGTGGTAGTGCCCCCCAGATCTTTGCAATTTAAAACTCTGAGTGGCACTGTAACTGTTATGGGCAGGTTTGTAGCTTACCAACAGGCGCACGACTTGTTTGTCCCGTCTCTTGATGGGTTAAAAAAAAAGATACACCAACAGTCCATCATTAAGTTCGAATTTCAAAAATTTTTCCACTCTAGCGTGGAAAAAATGCATTCTAATGAGAAAGAAAGCCTTTATGAGCTAGTTTCACCTCGAAAAGTTTGTTGTCGTTTTGTTTTGTTCTGTAAAGTTGTTTGTTACAAATCGCACTCGCAATGATTAAGGAGGACATTAAAATTGACCCTAAATAACTACCACCACGTTTAAAATACTGACTGACTTATTATAGTCTGTTTCTGTATAAGGGATACAGAAACAGTAAACAAATCGGTTTGGTTAAAATTCTAAAGCAATCACTCAATAAATAGAATAAATAACACTTCACGTATATTTTGAAGATTTGGACTGAATATCTCATCACTATTTCCAACAATTTTCATCTGAATAACAACTTAAAATCGTATTTGAAAAATGTTGGTCCACATGTGAGGTTATTTTTCAAATGAAGAAATATAGATTATCTATGGTAGCATAGCACTGGACGAAAAAAAATCATCCAGTTCATTCAATGAAAGTTTTTGCAATCTTTTAGTAACTCGAATATTTCAATCACAATCGAACAAGTATCTAAGTGTAAGTATTTGAAGGAAGATTTATATATATTTATTATGATTTGGACATTTTAAATTTACTTTTATAGATCATGTAAGAAAAAAGACATACTAATCCTGTGTATGAAAATATCATCACTCAGTATCGAATTATATTATTTTTTGTTAGGAATCAACAGCGAAATGGCAACAAAGACTGTTATTCCAACTCATTCAATTAAACAAATCGATTCATTAAATTAATTAATTGATTCATATTTGGCAGTACAACTGGCTATCACTAATTGTTTATGGTCGAGTCAGTGACGTGTTTGTCTTAGGCCGGACGCCCAATGACGGGATGGCAAGGGATTTTTAGACGACGAAGAGTAATGTACCTTAAGATTGTGACATTATAGTTGCAACTTCAATGATAATGATCGTAGCTGCAAAAAAAGCTGCGGTATGCTTCGGGGGATGCCGAGCCGGTAATCTGCGGAATGCCTAGGCAGCCTCGGGGACGCTTAGGCAGCCTTCGGGATGCATCGGAAGGCCGAGTGAGACTATGCGGGTAAACGGGGCGAGGGGAGGCACGCATGGCAAGGCTGATCTGAGGAGAGACCAGGCGCAAGCACGATGTCGCGACGGAATGCTTCAGCTTGCCTAAGGACGCTTATGCATGCTCAACGACGCCACATCGTACCTAGGGATACCGCGGCATAATTGCCATCAGTATGCGCTTGCATGTAGGGATGCCGAAGGCTCCCCTGCCGAGTCATTCCGTCAGTGGGCGCCGGACCTTAACCTGCTCTTTCTTAACGACGTCCTTAATTTAGTGAAATAAATATTATAAAAATCATTTTATAACAAATATTTTAGTTTCGGTAATGGGGGTATAGAAGCAAACTTACGTTTTCCACAATACCGTAGAGGCAATCCAGTATACTGGAATCACTGTATTCCATCACGACTGACAATATTTGTAACGCCGATTTGCTGTTCCAAGCCTGAAAGCAGTATTAAGATTTCAAATGCAATGTGGTCAATTAAAAAGTCATTTACTTCATGTTATCAATCTCTTGGCCTCCAACACTGTTCTAACTTCTATGTTGCTTGTTGCCAATCGGCTATCCGAAGCTCACACAGATCTTTGTGGATTTTGTCGATCCAGCGATATCTAGGAGGTCCAACCGGCCTTCTGCCAGTCGATTGCCCCATATATGCTCTCTCGTCGATCTTCACCCATCGTCTCGACGTGGCCAAGCCAGCGAAGTCAGGCTGATTTGGTCTCTCCCGTGATGTTAGTTTACCAGATCCTCGTTCTCTAGATTTTTTTCCTTATCCGAATGTTACAATGCTATACAACTTATAATAACAATGTCAAGGGATAATATAATCGTCACTAATACAAACAGTAATAATGGAAACAAAAAACAGTAACATAACCACAAAATATAAATAAACACGAAATTTTATTGACATACAACGACGTTTTTTATTTAAACAGCTTTTTTGACGTAACGCCATGTGCGAGAAATGTATGTAAGATTTTTCTTCACTCAGCCGGGTATCTTTAGAGCTACTAGCGGCTGACAAGAGATGTCGCTTTATTAATTGCAATATTTATTTGTAAAAAGCCCTTTAAATCAAAAACAAAGATATTTTTAGTTATCATTGATACAAAGATCGAATGAACAGAAAGAAAATTTCCTTCGTTTCGTCGGGATTCGAACTAGCACCTGTCTGCCAGACAGGGGTTAACCGCTCTCCCAACTGAGCTATGGAACGAACCAGCAGACCTTAGGAATTTTTCTGTGCTTGCTGCAGATCTTTGTTTTTGGTTTTTAACGACTTTTTGCCGTAGCCATCTGTGAGAAATCCATACAAGTTTTTCTTCGTACCCATAAGATCTTTGTGATTTAAAGCTCCGAGTGGCACAGCAACTGTTATGGATAGGCGTATCTCTTCCCACCAGGCGCACGACTTCGTCCCGTCACTTGGTATAATAATAAAGAAAGGACAATACTAGCTTTAAAAATCGGTTAATTAGGTTTGTGTGTTACCTTTTTCAGTCTCAAAGTAACTTGATTGGTAAAGTAGTCAGCATTGCACCTTATGAGATCTGCCACTGAGTTGTGCCCGCAAGCTATCGCGATGTCGTTGATGGCCTTTAGCCCTGCTAAGTGCAGCATTTCGTATTTGCAGCCTGTGAATATAACATATTGGTAAATGATCATTTTGCCTGTACTTATGTGACGATGTTGACCTCCTTCATCATCTACCAAAATTGTCTATTAGGGAGTGTTTTATATTAATTGTACTTTTTATCGAGTTCTTAGCTTTTCGCGATCGTTGTACATAATTCAACTATTTTTCCGGATTTAAATCGCGTATTTTTGTTTTTTCATACCAACCTACGTTTCGGGCTCTTTACAGGTCCCGTGTTGTTGACTGAGGGGGAATAGTCATCAACCAGTTATATCTAATATTAATGAAATACCTTATATTTCAACTTTACAAAGAAACTTTCCAATTTACGCTACATTATGTTTTGCAAATTATTTTAACAATATGAATTTTCTATTAAATTCAAGTTATTATTAATTCATAATGGAAATTAGAATAAATTAAAACATATTAATTAGTACTGCGATTTAAATCCGGAAAAATAGTTTCATTTCCTATGTACATACTTTTTACATCATTTTATTTGTTACATTTTTTCATATCTCCTTTTAAACTTTTTTTTAATATTAAGTAACGAGACGAACAGGTCGTGTGTCTGGTGGTAAGCTACACGCCTGTCCATAATCTGTAAAGACCTGAGAGGCACTGCCACTACGCCCTTCACGTTGAGACTTAAGTTGCCAATAACTGCTTGGCGGCAGAAATAGGTAAGGTGGCAGTATTTGCCTGGACGAACTTTTTCACAAGGAGCTCTATTCCTCCTAGTATTTCAAGTTTATATCTGGCAGAAAACATGAGACAGGTTAATTATTTTTTTTTTTTGGGAAAAGTACCAAGCTCCATACTAATTCGGTACAAGTATTTTAGAACAAACTATCAAAAACGACGAAAAAATGTTTAGGGGCCCTTTTAGCAAAACTATGATCATGTTGGTTGAAACGTTATTGCTTATCAGCATCCTCCTTTTCTTTTCTTTTTAATCATGTAAATCAAGTCCAAACTGGTCTGTCGATAACGCACCTACTCTCTCTAACACCAGACACAAAGTCCTCAACAAAAACGGTTGGTAGTCCTCCTTCAGCCTCCTCGCCATGATACCGACTCCCTCCGTGAGCAAGCAGGACAGCACCATGTTCTTCTGCGCCGCCGCAGAAGTTGGGCACGTGGAAGGGTCAGCGGAGGACGGCGCGCGGGGGACGAGGTAGCTTATGGCCGTGTACCGAGTCTCTACTGCGCCTTCGTACAGATCTAACAAAAAAATTATAGAAGCGTAAAAGTAGCCGTTAGTGACCATCAGCGCCATCTGTCGAAATTAGTCAAAACTATTGATTGATTTGTCGATCGATGATTCTGGATATGAAATAATAAATCGAACAAGATGGCGTTATCTGCGGCATAAGAACGGGTCCAACTAAGCTTAGTTGGTATAGCGCCTGGCATTAGATTTTTTCTGAGTATTCGATCTTTGTATTAATAATTAAAATAAACTAGTTGAGTAATTTCACAAAAAATAATGGAATATCAATTCAATAAAAATTTAAATTAATAATCTTTTACAAGGTGCTTACCAGGAACGCTGTCCTTAGTCCATGCTCTAGGATTATAAATACGAACATCAAGTGTGTCGTCACTCGTGAGCGGCGTTTCCCCACTACCCACTTCGAGTGGCAGGTACCACATGTTCTCTTCTATGTATGTGTTGAGAATCCGCTTTGCCACGCTGAGTGGGGCGTTTGGAGCTAGAATGAGATTTCGTCAGTATATATAATAAATACATCAAGAAGGTCGTCAAGTTATACAGTTTCCGTGTATTCGGATTTAAAAAGTCCATGGTAGTTAGGATTAGGATTTTCCAGGTTGGTGCTACATATGATATAGCACAAGAATATAGTCTGACTTTAATGCAGCTTTTCTTCAGAAAAGTAGAAAACACAACGTTGCCCCCGTACATATAATTAAGACAACTTTTGCATCTCGACAATGAAAAAAACAATCGAGTAATATTTGTAACTAGACGAATAAAGTGCTGCATGTGTACCCGCTAAGTGCCTATGAGTGTAGAATTGAGAGAACTAAATGGTTGAAATAAAAAAATATAATGAAGTTGAAAATCTTTTGCGACTCTCGGGGTCGTATTCCAGAACTCTACTCAATACTCAAGTCAGGACTTGAGTATTGCAGTGAGCACTGAAAATCATACTCAAGTCTTTGCCATTAGGGTCGTATTTCCAGTTTTTCTGTTTCAGCTTGAAATCATTCTCAAGTCTGCTCAAATCCTGACTTGAGCATTGAGTAGAGTTCTAGAATACGACTCTCGGTCTAAGTAATCACCTACTCTCAAACACACACACACAAACACACAGTAAAATATATACTATTTACAAAGAGCAACCCTTACAGAGTCTTACTCATTCGTCTCGTGGGAATCTGCCTCACGAACGAGTAGTAGTGTTTAACCAATTGGATGATATCAAGTATAGTTTGTGTAGCTATGAAACATTTTCAGTTTGGATTTGTGCGTTAGACGTTGAGACCCTCACCCGAGCCCATCCAATTCATGACGTAAGCGATCTCGCAGTCTCGCTGCTGCTGGAACATCTCCATGAGCCGATCGAGCATGAGCTCGGCTGACTCCGCGTCGCCGATCAGCCGGCAGATGTCTTGCAGCCGTTGCTCACACTGCGGAGTGTCCAGGTGACGCAGTTTGCACCATGGAGATGTGATCGGGGGTGGAGATGTCACGTCTGAGGGAAATCTTAATAATTAGTATGACGGGGATGTGGGAAGAGATTTACTGAGAGTCGCAATTTACTGAAGTGGTTTTAAGTTCCGTATTGTTAAAGTCCATAAAGGTGCAGTATTAAAGAAGCTATTCAGCGGTTCGAAAGGATTGGTCGGGAAGGTCATTCGCTGAGGAAAAATTTCACAAAATCGTACAACGTCATCTATTGGAAAAAGTTGGAATCTTTTCGCAAATCAAGCATTCGTGATTTTTATCAATGCACTTTATACAGTATGATTTCTTTAACTGCGGTAAGTAATATAAGTAATGCTGGGAAACTGTCTTAGGAACCATTAGGTTTTGGGAAAACCAATTTGACATTGTCTATTTTTTTTATCAAGCGTGACTTGTCCTCAAAAATGAATAAAATAGATTTTTTTTAATGCTGATCGATTAAATTCTTTGTAAGAGCGTTTGCGCCCTGCATCCGATTCGTAAGTTCCGAATCCGAAACTATACAAATCCATAAAACTCGGACCCAGTTCGGATGTCGCTTCGTCCGACCCCAATCCGAGAAAATACGAATATCGCTTGTACACTTAGAGATAAAATGATACTTCTGACACCTGTGACATTTCGGACCGTCATTTCTCGGATTCGGAATACGAATCGGAAGTAAGCGGCGTTTGCGCACACCCTAAGCATTAAAAAATCGACGCAGCAGAAGTGATCAAATTTAATAAAATGTTTTTTTTTTCTAAAAATAATCATTTTCATGTACGGTCAACAACGCAGCAAGCCGAATATCGTCTCCAGTGCAATGGAACAAGATCTGTCAATATGTAGTCGTCTGTACATGAAAATTATTTTTTTAGTATCTAGTAACGTGACAAGCAAGTCCTGTGCATGGTGGTAAACAACACACATAATATTACAGTGTTTAACTGTTGCTTTGTTCGTCATGGA